CCTGTTAAAGGCTCATAACTGCTTTGTTCTAGCTGGCGTGGCTTTAATGTTGCGCATATAAAGCATACGCCATGTGTGCACCGTCTTGAGCATAAATAAATAGCCCAGCGAATGGGCTCTTTAGTTTGCAACTTGGGCCAAGATATTTAACCTTTTCAGTGAGCACCGGCAACAACAGTTACAATATTTAGCCAAAGCGTAACAATACATAAACACAAACACACACACACACACACACACATACGCAGCTGAAGGATCCTGACAGCGACCGAGTAAGTAAAAGCCAATACCAAATATGGCTCAATGTGTGCCAATACCGTAAGCAAAACAACGCCAAATAACTAACAACAAACCCCCAAAACAGCAATCACTTAACTTTGCCCTCAGACAGCGTTCAACACGAAAATCAAACAACAACCACAATAACAATATCAACAACAACATCAACATCAATATCAACAACAACAACAACAGCGGACAAAATAAAAATAAACAGAAAATGAAAATACAAATAAAGTAAATAATAAAAACAGCAACTCGACAATTCGAGTCCAAGTTTCGTACGCTATCCAACACTTGAAGCGCTGGAGTCAACAAAACAAACAAACTGGTAAGAGCACTCCACCCGGGAAGCTTAACTGATTGAAATGAATGAAAAATGGAGTTATATTTGTATAGATAAGGTTAATAGTATTTGCCGCGTCTCTGATACAAATTCAATTTGTGAGCACAAAACTTGCGCCGACAACTTTCAGCTAGCCAAGACGAAGGAGCAGAAGGCTGTTATACTATATGCCGATGCCGGGAATATTTACTTAGCAAGTTCTGTTCTTTACTTTTGCTACCAAACTCTCGGATCAGATAGATTTTAGTTTGGCATCAAAGTTCGCTTAAATGTTTTTTATTCAGCTAGCCGAAAACTTGATTGCCTCTACTGGGCAAAGCGAAACTACTCAGAACCGAGTGACCTGAACTAGCTGATTTAGGCAAATAATAATATAACGGAGTTGATTATCTTTAGACAAATCAAATTGGATTAAAGCAAAGGTAGGGCATGAAGTTAATATTGTAAATTATTATAGAATGTAGTTTAATTAGAAACAAATTTAAAGTTGTTTATGAACGTTTCGTATTGGCCTTAGATTACAAAGAAATGCCGTAAAATCGAGCAGAAATAAAACCAAAGGCTCCAGTATCCAGTTTTAAAAATTAAAAGTTAGTTTTAATTTTATATTAACTCCAATGCTTAAAATATAAATAAATAAAAATTGGATATAAATTCTAAAAATATTACGAGTGAACATCAAATGAAGCAAACTGCTTTCCAGTCAGTCAATCACCATAAAGATTTATTTCGATCGACATGTCAAGGAGTCATTTCAGTTCTCGCAAAGTGAACCACGGAGTATCTCCTAGTCAAGCATTCCCGAGTAGAGAGCTAATATGAAATTTTATTATAGTTGCTTATCTCAAGTTTCTTTTAGTTTGGCACTATAATTATACTAAAAATGAACTTTAATCCATACATATTTATATAGCTGACAAAATGTGTTCCAAGTCGAGCAATACCGACCAGTGCATTCACATTAAACTGAGTTATAGCTCATTGCCTAAACGCTTTCGACTATGATATGGATAGTGTATCACTCATACCAAAATTTGACGTATGTAAATGACACAGAGATAAATAAAGCTATATTCCACTTACATTCATCAAAAGTTTCTGTTCAGAAAGTTCTTCATATGTAAATAGTTTTTGCAAACTTATACAATTCAACTCAGTTGACACGGAAATAATTTCAAACTCATATTAATATTCATATTGATTGCTGCTATGAATTGGTTAAGTATCGGGCGTCTTGCAATCACGAGAGTACATTATGGTCGAATCGTTAATCTTATATAGATATTATCAATCTGATGAAACAGTTAATTGATATCAGACATAAAAATAATATAAAAACATTGTTTTCCACTTAAACTGCCAAAGGTTTGACCGATGTGTGTAGATATAAATATATATATATACACACAATGAAATATATAGATGTATACTTCGATAAAAATGGTATATAATATTTATCTAGTTGTGGAGACCCCGAATCATTTATCGTTATTTCACATTGTGATTGATGCAGTCAGGCAATACAAATAAACAACAGAAACAATAATAACAATCATAACAATAGCCACAACAAAACAACAACAATAAGACTCGGAAGCATATTATAGCCATAGGTATTATCTATAGAAATTGCGTGCTGCATTTCATTTTCATTTTCATTTCATTTTCAGTTTCTTTGTCCATTTCTATTAATTGGTTTTGTTTTGTGTGCACTAAAAGAACATTTTTGTTGTTTTCGAGATGTTCTGCAACGTAAACTTTTGGCAACGATGCATGTGCCAGCCTAGTACACACACACATAGGCACAACAAACTGCACAAGCAAGCATATTGCTTTGGGGCAGCAACCACTGCTAAATGCTCGCTCACATTTTCCGATAGAGTTGTATGAGTCTCTCAAAGGATATTAAAGTTTGCATTGCCTGTGGACTTGAGATTTAATACAGTCGAGTCTCGATTATTTGAACCCCACTAAATCGAAAATCGCGATAAATCGAAAAAAATTCGATCCCCTTGATTCTCGATAATTTAAATTCTGTGTAATCAACAAAAAAAATCAGATCCCCTTGCTTGTTTAAATTATCGAGACTCGCCTGTTCTATGAAATCTATAGTTCTATTACGCTATAAGATGGCAAAGTTTTTTGGCTGCATCGACAGTCAATAGTTAAGAGATGTAATACTTAAGAAGCTCTAGAAAATCTACTCTATATGCTTTGCTGACTTTGCTTAAAACAAAATATAATATATAAAAATACAAAATACACATTTATATATTATTATAAATGTTATATATGCATATGGCATCTATATATATTTTTTCACATATTGTACGTAACACAATCTGCAATCAAATGCCTGCATGTGCTTTTACGCATCGCCACGCACCTTAACGCCAACGCCCCACCACTGCTGGCCGTGTCTACATCTCAGTCTCGTCCCACTCCCACTCCACGTCCCAGTTCCACTCCCAGCCCCAGACGCAGCTCCCAGCACCAGCGCGACCCGGGGCAATCGCCCACAGGACGCAACAAGCGAAAATTTTTGTGTTTTGTTTTGAATATTCTTTTATTTTCTTTTCTTTTATCATATTCTCTTTATATATATATACATCTATATATATATATATATATATATATATGTGAATTCATATATGTATGTGTGCGTATGCTTGAGTATTTTCATTGGTTTTTTTCTCTGTTTTGTTTTTTAGAGCGAACGTAAAAAATTGAAATTGAATATTTTATGCGAATTTTTCGCAAAGAGCTGAACTTCAAAACAAGTAAAAGTGCAAGACTGCAGCCGGCACGGCTAATAGATACCCTGTAGAAGTTGACAATTAACAGCGGCTCATCTAAGAATGCAACAAATAATAATAATAATATACATATATTAACGTTAATGACTAAGCTTTGAAAGATTCAAATTAATAATAGAAAAAAATTAATAATAGAAAACAAGTATTAAAAAATAAATAAATAAATAAACAAAAAGTTATAAAATATATAACAATAATAAAACTCAAAATTAAAATTTAATGATATACAAAAATAAACAAATTCTTTAAATTTAAATAATATTATATAATTATATGATAATAACAAACAAAAAATATTAAAAAATAATAATAATAATAATAAAACTAAAAAAAATTTATAATAATAATTAAACTAAAAATTAAAATTTATTGATATAAAAACAAACAAATTTTTTTTAAATTTAAATAATTTATGAATAGGATTTAAAAATTTTACATAAATAATAAATTATAGTTAAAATTTAAAATATATATATAAATAACAAACTGTAGTTAAAATATAAACAATTATTAAGCAAATAGTGATGAGACATCCGTCTGCTTTGTAACTCAGCGCCAGAAACCTATTCATGAAAATATGAATATATGTATATAATGATAATGTTAATCTATATGCCAAGCCAAGACACTGCGAACTGTTCTGCAAGACATCAAAGACTTTTGGCAATAGATCCTGACGATATGCTACGACCCGATCAAACCTTTGTGCATTTAAGCCAATCAATATTTAATGGAAATGCTCAAATATTTAAAGGCATCTTTGAGTACATTGGACAGCGAATTATAAAACTCATTCATAAATGACCTCAGGCCACCCACTTGTCAGCTTGGCTGTCTAGTGAAAGTTCACAGTCTGAAGTTCAACCTTCAATTATAGGTCAAAAAGTGGCTTAAAGAGTAAGGCAATTTATTGACTTTGATTGACTGGTCAGTTCGATAAAAGAATGACCCTGTTCATATGTTAGTTATCAAATATGCGAGTCAACGAGTCAATATAATATATCTATGTATATCTATATCTGTACGGCAGGATTGGATGACTCTCAGCGGGGCTCTGTGTGAACCAGTTGTTCGTTAGGGATGCCGCCTTAGTTGGTGTAGGAATCATATCAGCTTCTGGTTGTTGGCATTTACAGGAAAACGTTTTAGCCATTTAGCACACGTGTGTTCATCATATTGATAATTTTCCAGACAGTTGCCCAACTCAGTGTCACTGCGCAGCTCTTGACAGCTGCCACGAGCACACACCCACCTAGAGATAAGCTCAAGAATTTCAATTAAAAAACATAAGCATGCAAATATGTTGGCAGAGCAAAACAAAACAAAAAAATAAATTAATTTTTGTGTTGCTGGCTTTAATCAGCTTGTTGCCAATTTCCAGTACTTTAAACAAAAGTTTTCAACATTTTTTTGTGATAAGAATAATTTGAATTTATGAGGTGCTCAAAAATAAATTTAATTTCCTCATTTCTCAAATATTCGAACGAGACGAGCTGAGACGATTTGTCCCTGCTCGTCCTGTCCATCCATCTGTCGATCTTGTAGGTCCTTCTTATGTATTTTTTTTTTTTTTTAATTTCTTTTCATTTTTATTCAAGATCTGCAAGTGTTTATCTCCCTCTATAATTTTCATACAATTTTTTTTATTTTTTTTTTCTGCCTTCAACTAGAGAACCTCTTGCTCCGAGAGCTTCCTCTGTCACATGTCAAGCCAAGTCTTTCTACATAATTAATATCATCTTAATGCGTCTTGAAATTTTGCTTAGGGTCATAAATTTCGGAGAATTTTTTGTTTGTTTTTTGTTCTTGCTTATTTTTATTATATTTTATTTTATTTTTTTTATTAAACTCTGTAATTAATTAGTGTAGTTGATATTTTCTTTGCAAGAGTTTAACGAGCAAATACACCCCGATGAGTTATGGCGCTTGGCAACTTTTCGCGACAGCCAAACAAATGTTGAATGCCAAAAAGGAGAAACACGAAAAGGAAAACAAATGGAAACAAAAAATGAGCATAAATAAAAACAAATAACGACACGAAAAGAGCTCAACATCTGAGTGCATGTATGGGTAGAACTTAAAAGTGGCAACCGCAGACAGGCGACGGCGTGCAACAAGCTCTGCAGCTGCAGCGAAACGGTGCACAAATTGTGGCTGTAGTTGAACTAACTTGAAAAGTTTGGCGTCAAAAGGTGGCGACACGCAATGAATACCCATTGCACGTACATATGCTTGCCATTGCCATATTTCCGCCACTGCCGCCTCTGCCGTCGCCGCTGCCGTCGCCGCTGCCTGATGCCAAATCAAAGATCACATTCGCATGCACTCCTCCTCCTTCTCCGTCTCCTCCTGCTCCTGCACATGCAATGCTGGCGCTTGCGGTCGCGTGTTTTTGGGGGTCACGCGCCAGAAAGCGTTGTGCTGCACTTATATTCCGCGCAACACTTTGAACGCAGCGATTAGCAAAAGGACACGTACAGGACGCACGCACAGAGACACGCTCACCTATAACAATACACATGCACACCATGCCTAGGCACGCACCCACACACACACGCGAGCTTAACGGTTAACGAGCCAAACCACCGGCAAACCTGAGAAGCTGCCAAATGCCAATTGTGTGGCTACGAGGGCTGCTCTAGAACTTGCAAAGCAAGCACTTACTTAGCTCTACTCCAAGCTGACAGCCTGAAGGAGCAATGCTTAAACTCAAATTCTAATTCAGAAATAAAGAATGAAACGAGTCACACATAGAATTACTTTCTGAAAAAAAATTTTTTTTTAGCTTCTGCTCCTGCTCTCGCTCAACCTGGAGTTTGGCTAAGCTTGTACTTATACACACCCCTTTAACCATAAGTACTGACAAAGCTGTGAGGGACTGAAAATTCTTAAGATGCCTTAGTTTTTAGGCTAAGTTGTTCTCTTAGATTTACAAAAAAAAACCCTGATATAAAAAATATATTCAATTCAAACAAGAGTAATTGTGGTTCGTTTCAACAAAGACATATTATATATATGCTATATAAATCCATATATATCGTCTCTAACTAGTCATTGTCAGAAGATGAATAAACTTAACAAATATTTAATTATTTTCTCTAACTTTAATATTTCGAAACTTTTTGTTGCAAACATTATGGATCAACCCTCTTAAATCCCGTGTGCCAAGCAATATGATTTCATGTTGTCAAAGTAGTTGTTGGTTCTTCAGTTGTTGTTGTTGTAGTTCCAGAGATTTTCTAGCAATTTTCATTGACTTTGCCCATTTGTAACGCTATCATGATTGCGTTTAGTAATTGCAATTGGCATCTTCTAGCTAAATATGCAAGCAGAGAGAACAGTAGAACATTTCCCATTTTACACAAATTACAGATGCCAAAAGTTATTTGGAATGAAATGGAAAAAGAAATAGATCATATAATATTTTAAAAAGTTAATGAAAACAAAGGAACTTCTATCACAATACAAATTTCTGCTTAAATATGTTTTTCGAATAATTTCCACGCTTTTATTTGAAACCGACAACAAAATCCTTCAACAAAAACTGGCCACAAATATGTTTTTAGCTATAACGCAGAAATGTTGCAAGCCCTGGGGTAGCACTGGGGGCCCACAACAAATGAAATAATAATAAAAACCGAAAAGCCTTTTCACTAATTTCATTTTTTTGTGGCCCCAAAACATGCACACAACACTCACATTCTCATCTACAATGAATTGCAAAAACTTTGTTTTTGTAATACTGTTTTACTTTTTTTTTTTAGAAAAACCCATTTATCAAATAAATATTTGGAAAGTTTTGTTTGGTTTCGACAAGCGAATATAAATTGGGATATATTTATGATATCGTACTCACTGTTGTGGAAAGGTCCTGAGAACGACGCACTTTTCAGTCGTTCGAGTCCAATGAAAATTTTGTGCACATTTTGTGCGTAAACAATCAACAAATTCTCACACCGGCAAAATAATAGTAATAGTAGTAGAGAAATAAAAAAAAAAAAATTATAAAAACCAAACACAAAAAGAAAACACAAAATGTTGTGCAAACTAAAAGCGACGCCAGAAACTTGGAATTTTCGCGCCAAAGAAGTGGTAAAACCAAAAATAATATAAATAGTTTAGGCTGGAGCTAATTTTCAAAATTTCTTCTTTTTCACTTTGGCGAGTAATAATTGTTTTTTGTTTTTTGTTTTATTTTTTTTTTTTTTTTTTTGAACTTTGTTTTGTTTTGTTTTGTTTATTAATGATATTTAGCACTGCACTTGCCACAAAAAAACAATAAAAAAATGTATGGACTGCGAATTAGAGTTTTGCTGTTGCTTATATTGTGATGATGATTTGCAAGCAACGTGAGCGTTTGAGAATTTCGGTTGAAGTTTGAAGAGTTGAATGAGTTTTTGAATGTTGAGCGCTTTGCCAGGCTCTATCTAGGGGTTCTGCTCAGCTGCTGCACAACTCGCCCTGACGAGCGTTCAAATGAAACTGATGCGATAGCGCAACAGTCGCAGGAATATAAAGCACACCCAAAACACACATACGACAAGAGCGCCATAAAACGAACGCACACAGCCAAAGAGCGAGCACGAACGGAGCGAACGAGGCGAACAAAGCGAAGAAGGCGAGCAAGGCGAGCAAGGCGAACGAGGCGAACGACGCTAGCGAGCGTACAGTCCGAACGCAGCTATAAACGAAGCACACGATAAACACCTGTAAACACTCGTCGTTTGGCATTCGGCTTTCGCCGCTGTCGTTGTTGCTGCCGCTATAATGCCGGCACAGTCGTGTATGTGATTTGTTAGCAAGCGAGAGCATCACAGAGCGATATGTAGATAGAGTGAGCCAAAGAGAGACAGAGTGATGAAGGGAGAGGGAGTGAGAGAGCGCGTGAGTTGCGCTCGCGGAAGCGGAAGGAAACTCAACAGTTGGCACATTACGGCCGCTACTTGTTGTTGCTTGCTTGATGCCTTGCCATACAATTTATGGCAAGCTCATTTATTGCATTTATTGAACACACACACACATAGGTAGATATGTATATAGATGCGTATCCTAAATGTTTGAGTAAGCAATATCATGCCCCAAAGCCGCACTATGCATCATTTCGTCCAAGCGAAGCAGCTGATATTTATTTCTCGCAAACGCTTCCACTACAGTCTCGGCCAATTGCTTCCTGAGCAGCCCCTGACGTCGCAGCACCCGTCGAACCTTCCTCTCAAACTCCTTGTCCGACGTTGGCTTTGGTGGCCTCGGAGTTGTCATGGTTTGTCTAGCGTCCCTCGCGCGCAGCTTTGACCACAACTCAGCCAGGTGAATACTTTCGGTGGAACTGTCTTCCAACACCTTCGATGCACTCTCACTCGACAATTGGGAGAGATCGGTTTCCCCAGCTGCCGACTGCAGGATACAACAGCAGCAGGGCAACAGCAACAATAAAAGGCAACGCATCTCAGTTTCAGTGTATATTCGCTTTTGTAATGCTCTAGCCAAAATCGTCGCTACTTATAGTCAAAGCCGTCACAACAGTTTAGCCAGCCGCCAACACCTTTGACGTATGAGATAAGCTTTGATTTATTTACAACTATTTTAATTAACTTTTTGCACTTCCTCAACAAAATTTGCAGATATTTATTGTATTGTCTGCGACGCAGTTATGAGGCGCTTTTCTAGAACAGACCAGCGGAAACCGTCCTTCATGACTGCCACGTGAATCCTGGCAAGGTACACTGGTATATCCAGCCTCACTTTACATAAGTGCCACTGATCTAGCTCATAGGTAACATGTATTAATGCCTTCTCACATTGCTTCAGTAGCTTCAATGCTTTCTTCCTTCTATACCGATTAAAGTAAAATTTGACCAACTATTTTCAGTGCCATAAGGTAAAACGACTAAAAGAAATCGAATATATGTTTAGTTTAATTAATATAAATACTTATCGATAAGTTATCGATATAACAAAATCAAATCTCTTGTAAGACTTCTTCTCACGAATGCAAACCTCTTAACTTTCCCATTTAAACTCTCCAAAAATGTATAATAACATCTATATCATACACATAACAATGTAGAGTTCAATGAGCTCCGCATTTCACTGCTGGAGTGAAATTTATCTAGAACAAATTGCTTTTTTCAGACAACGCTCATAAACATTTTAGAAACACGTCTAAATTATGAATTGCTATTTGAAAAATTTGTCGCCATTTGAAGTATTGACATTTGTCTGAGCCGCATACGCGTCACGCGTGTGATTTTCTATATAAATAACATTTATCGATCATTCATTATTCATCATAATCGATTGGTCTGAAATTGGGTACCCCCCCCAGCCAACCACAGCATACCCAACGTGCATTTTAACAAAGCAATTATTTGTTTTAGGTTAACAGATGTGTGACCGGCTTTCGGGCCCGCTTATGTCCGTTCGTCAATTTAGCACCCGAACTCCACCTGCATGTCACAAATAATTCATATTTATATGCGCCCAATTGACAAGTGACAACGGAATACAATATTCACCCACAGCTGCACATTAATGTGGGCAGAAGGTGTGGCATACTTTCAGGAGCAGCACAAACAGTAGAGCCCGACTAATAAGGAACTATCGTTGTAAAAGCTAAGAGCGCCTGATATAGATATACACTATAATAAATTGCTGGAGAAACTGAAAATTAGAAGAAACTAATAAAATCGAAAACCAGTTCGAAATTTCATAGATTTTCAAAATTTTTTTTTATATTTTATAATTTTGTGTAATAAAAAATATATAAAATGTTGTTATACTGTTTATTTCATGGAATTTTTAATAAATGTTTTTATTTAATTTATTTTTATTAAGTTTATATAATAAATTTTATTAAATTTATTTTTAGTGAATTTTATTAAATTTATTTTAATATATTTCTTAGACTGGTTTTTTTTATACATATGTGTATTATTATATCATAAAATAAATTTTCTTTTATACTTGAAACTGATAAAAAAAATGTTGAATTATAATTGACTTTATAATTATTAAAATATATTTTTTGTATTTTATGGTATATTTTCTTTTGGTGTAAGTTATCTACTTCTAGGATTTTCTTTTTTAATAATAACATATAACATTTTATAGTGTGGCCCATCATAGGCCCTATAATTTCAGCTTTCTAGGCTATTGGCACAATGACCAAGTCATTTAGATATACATATGTATGTATGTACGTACTTGCGACTGTTTGTCTGTCTGTCTGTCTGTCTGTCTGTCTGTCTGTCTGTCTGTTTGTCGACCTGCTATCAATGGACAATCAATGTGGTGGTATATTAGAGACATATAGAGTGCATGTCACAGTGTCTGTGGCTCGTTGTGCAGTTTGAAAATGTAGCCAGATGCCGATGGATGGGGAGAGGCTGACGAAGGTGACGGTGTTGTCTAACAAAATGTTTTCACATTATTCAAATGAAATGCTTTTTATTGTCTGTACACAGCAAACTGACAGCAACAAGAACAACAATGAGAATAATAATAATAATAATAATAAAAACAAAAAAATAATCAAATATAATGAACGACGAATATTAAATACCCTTTACTTTTATAATTAAAAGTAAAACAACTCTGCTTTATATACATACAATATATATATATATATATGGAAAAGAACTTGAAAATTATCATTCGATAAATTATATCATATACAATGAACGAACTCTATGTTATGGCTTTATATTATATATATGGAAGCTCGAAGTTCCCAACGACAAAGTTAGGATAATTTCAACAACAGTTCTAATTTCTATACAACAACTAATTTTGTACATAACTTATATATAACTTTAGTAAAGTGCGAGCTAACATATATATAGCAATACGCTCTAATGACTTTGGGCCAATTGTCACAGAGACAGATGGATACGGTTCGAATAACTCAAATGGGAATACTGGCCACGAATATAGATATACTATATACCTTAATTTCTATAAGTGTATCAAAAGCAAGCAAATCGTCATAAAACAAAAAGCAAACTGAGCAAGCAAGACAGCTGTAGACCGAGGGAGAGAGAGAGAGAGTGCGAGAGAGGGACAGAGAGTGGGCGAATTGAAAAATATTACCTGCATTCAGGGAATACAATGAATCATTTTGGTCTTTGTTTTAAATGTGTGTGTGCTGTGTGTATGTGTGTGTGCTAGTGGGCAGCAGCAATGGAGTAGAAGAATGCAGAGTGGGCGGGTACTAGGGGATGGCAACAAAATGGCGCGACATTTGTGAAGGAGAGGATAGAAGGAAATATAGTGTTTGAATGTTTTTAAGCAATCAACGATAAATGCAATTTCAATTTTCATTAATCTGCTTGGTTAAGAGACATGCACACGAATCACACACACACACACGCAACTATATAGCTATACAGCTGTCAGAATGAGACAGCATGACGAGGGGCGGGAGTGTGGTGCCAGAGGCAGGGTGAGAGGGGATTCGAGAACAAAGAATACCAAGGAATTGTGAGAGCTGAATGTTGTACGCTTATCAGCGACTGTCAAAATGTTATGCGTGCATCTGTGTATGAGTGTGCACTACGATAGACAAACAAAAAGCAGCAGCAACAGAGAAACAGAGTGGGATAGACAGAGAGCTAGCAATGCATTGGATGGAGAGTGAGAAAGTGAAAGACTTTTGCGCTAAGATAGAAAGATTTGAATACAAATTATTTGTCATTTCGCTGCCATTGAACCAGTGATTCAGTTCATTCAGTTCACCACCAGTGCAAGACATTAACAAAATTGCTAGCATTTGTCTTCAAGCACTGAGCTGCTTGATTTGCAGCATCAGCTGATAATACTCGAGTTCTATTCAACTGACTGCAGCTGAGAGCATTGCACTTTGCTTTCACTCTTAGATACATTCATGTTAACTGGCAACTTGAACTAGTTCCGTTCGTTCATTTTGCTGTTCTATTTGTTTTGATTTAAATGCAATTTTCAGGGTTATTGCTTAAATTATTCATGAGTTTTTTGCATAATTCAAACTCGTAGTACTCGTATAGTAACTGGAACTAGTTCAATTATTCTTAATTCTTATTATTGAGAGCAAATATAAACTAGTTCCCTTAAATGTTTAAATTGATCTAAGAAAAAGCTAATCGATCTAGATTATCTAAAACTCCGTGGTTCATTTGCTGGTTCAGCTGTTATTT